TGCCTGCAAACCCAGCTACTTGGGAGGCTGAGGCAGGAGAATCGCTTGAACCTGGGAGGTGGAGGTCGCAGTGAGCCAAGATCACGCCACTGTACTCTAGCCTGGGTGACAGGGCACGACTCAGTCTCACAGAAAAAAAAAGAAAAGAAAAAAACCATATCTCTGTTTGACAATTTGGGACAAAACATTTCAGGCCAGTAGGCAATACTTGTAGTAAATATTCTAACATTATATTAAAATGTACTATTTTATGTCTTTTTGTCAGTTTTTCTTTAAAGCACTTTTTAACATTCCTGTGCATGTGTTTTGCGTAGCCTATTTTTTACAGCCATATACATTTACATTTTGAAATCCACATTCTAGTTTGCTTTTGTTTTTCTATTTAGAGTCAGGGTCTTATCGTGTCATCGAGGCTGGAGTACAGTGGCACATGATCATGGCTCACTGCAGCCTCCAACTCCTTGACTTCAAGTAACCCTTTGGCCTCAGCTTCCCAAGTGGTTGAGACTACAGGCACACACCACCAAGCCTGGCTAATTTAAAAGATTATTATTATTATTATTTTGCAGAGAGTCTTGTTATGTTGCCCAGGCTGTAAATTCACAAATATTCTACTATTTTAAGTATAAAGATTTTATTATTTATAAAAACACTAGTTTATGCTTTGGGAAGAGCAGAGCAGAGGTTCAGATCACACCAAATGCCTTTTTAAGGATGTAAAATGTAAACTTTGGCTGTTCACAGACCTCAGTGATGTGAGTACTGTTGCTCAGGAGTAACAAGTTACTAAAATGCAGAAGGAATGGGTAGTATTTCTTGCTTCTCATGATGAATGTTTCTGTATGTTAATGGCTTGTTGGGTAACTACTAAGGTACTAGAACTGATAAATGTGTACAGGGTCCTTTGCAATAAAGCTGGTTATGACTTGATCCAGGTGTTTAACAATTGGGGCTGGTAAGTCCATACATCATTGGGATAGAATGTGGGCTTTTTCAAGGATGAAGATATAGTCTTAACCACAGTGTAACTTATAGTTTCCTTTAAAAAAAATTTAAAAATTTTAAGAAAGTAAACCTGGCAGCTATAGAATATACTATGTGCATTTATAATAGCTGTATTATATATTATAGTGTTAACATTTTAAAATTAAATTGTTTTACATTCACAAATGATGGGGAGTCTTATCATTAAGGTGTGTGTAATTTAGAGTCCAGCTGGTTTTATTCTAACTGGACTGTACTTGTTTTCATAGTGGTAAAATGCTACTCACACTTATACCTTGCGTAAGTCCTCATTCTACCACATATTAACCCTCTAGCTGAGAATACAAACACTAACTGGGGAGATGGGCTGTAGAATAAAACACAAGTTATTCACACCAGCATCATCTGTTACTAACATTCTTATTTAGTTAGCGCAGCTTTTCATTGTGCTGCGATTGATCTCATAACTAGGTTGAGTTTTCCTCCTCTGCTAACAGGAAACAAGAACTAATGCCAAAGTTCTTTTTCTTATGGCATTTGTATCATGAAAAGCACAAAGCTCCTGCCCACTGAACCTTTGCCAATTATGACAGTGCTGGGTTAGGTTGCATCTGGTTACCGTCCTGGAAAAAATCACCTTTATAGAGATAGTCTTCCAAGCGGTTTTAAAATTTGTCCTTCTACTGAAGTTTGTAGGTCAATTATGTATGCTGACTAAATTGTTTATCCAAAACAAATAAATCAAATGTGGACTTTGAAGTTCAGATGTTTTCCAAAGGGGAAATATTCTGCACATAAACACTAAAAGACATATTTTGAATTTCATAAATGCACATGGGTAAATATTAATTATACAGCATTGTCCAACACCAATATTATGTTAAAAAAGCTTATAAAGTTAATTGATTTATATTAATTTATCTTGACTTTTGTTTCTTAGATACTGAAGAGCAATTAATCACAATGTTTTCTGGGTGGAAATGAGTTCTCAGACAGTACATATATAGGCTTTTATGTCTGTGTCCAAACGAATGTGATATATGAATAATGTCTGTCATTCACTTTAGTTACAAAATCAGGACTTGAAAACCACCTCCATTATTGATTTCATCAAGGTTTGATTTTTAGCATTCATTTTTTTCCTGACCTAAAACAGTCACATAAAACACTTGCAGTGTTCCATTTTTAAATCTACGCTTCCATTTGGATTACATTACTTTATCAACTTTTTATTTATTTGTTTTTCTTTCTTTGCCTGAAATACTCAGGTTTAACTTTTCAGGTACCACGTCTTCTAAGGCTTGCTCAGCAGTTGAAAGTGTATTGTGTGGTTTCTCCTCTTCTTTTTCAGATTTCTCTTTTCTCAGGTTACTTGGGATGAAGTCCTTTTCTCCTTGACTTTTTACTCCTATTTCTTGTTTCAGATGAAGAGGAAGTCTCCCCGCCTAGCGCCTTGCCTCCAGGTTAGGATAATTTCTACCCTTCTCCCTGCTTTTAAATTATGCACTGAAAGTAAAGGAAAAGAAAAGGCAGAGAGCCTCCTCGCTGAGTCAGTACACAGCAGGGGAACCAGGTTTTGCCTGTGCTGGCACCAAGAAGGAAATGTTAGCTTTAATGACAGGTTTTTGTTTTACATGAGAAACTTCTTAGAGACATTCTTTGAGAAATAAATAAGATTGGTAAATCTTGGGTATAAATGCTAGGAGTCAACATATTTGTCTTCCATTTCTCACTCCATAACCATCCTTTTCCCCTGTTCTTTAAACTTAGGTATTTGAATTTTAAAATTTTTCTTTTCTTTTCTTTTCTTTTTTTTTTTTCTTTTTTTCTTTTTTTTTTTTTTTGAGACTGAGTCTCACTCTGTTGCCCATGCTGGAGTGCAGTGGGGCGATCTTGGCTCACTACAACCTGCGCCTCCCAAGTTCAAGTGATTCTCGTGCCTCAGTCTCCAGAGTAGCTGGGATTACAGGTGCACGCCACCATGCTGGGCTAATTTTTATATTTTTAGTAGAAACATGGTTTCACCATGTTGGCCAGGCTGGTCTTGAACTCCTGACCTCAAATGATCCACCTGCCTTGGCTTCCCAAAGTGCTGGGATTCCAGGCATGAGCCACCATGCCTGGCCGGGATTTTTAAATGTTTCTATCATTTTAAAATAAGACATACACTTTTATAGATGCTTTCATAGTTGAGCTCTACCGATTTTCCATCCAAGCCAACTTATAGGGTTTTTTTCCTTCCTATCACCAGAGGAGACAGGGTTTAGGGGACTCCAAGAAGGTTGAAGTCAGCACTCAATTTTTATCACTTTTCCACCCCTCTACATCACCCAAATTACACTTTCCTTTCAGGTTTGGGTAGTCGGGCTCTGGAGAGAAAAGATTCAGGTGAGCACAAGCCCAGACAAGGCATCCTGACCTCATCCTAATACAATCACTAATGACCTCATTTCTTGAAGCTGTATTGACTCTAATCCTTGTCTTATTCAGTTTGCAGTTTGTATAGCAATCTTTCATTACGTTTCCTCTTACAAGAAAACTAATGTATTGAGAAACAATTAATTTTGCATGATATACACTCATTCAAGGATCTAGCCACATAGACCACAGGTTTGTTCTATCATTTTTAATAATTAGCAAATACACAGAGCTCAATCTTCATAACTTTGGGTGCCAAAGTAAGATGATAATTCACATTCTTATAGAACTTTAAACACAGATAATAAAACACTTTCAAATGCATCCTGTCAGCTGTAGCTCCTGTTCTGTGAAGTTATTCATTCATTCAATAAATTTTCACTGAGGACTTAATATGATCCTATAATGGGCCTCTTACGGCCAACTACTCCTAGAGGCACTGCAGGTATAGAAGTGAACAAAACAATAGAAACACTTATCCTCACGTTGTAGATGTGAAAGATCACTTTTGTTCCTATTAATATCACAAACACAAACAACATAAAATTTTAACATTAACTTGGGTGTTTAAAAATGTGTAATCATATGACTGTGATAGTCACATGATTGTGAAAATGCTTAACTTCACTGTGAAAATGGTCTACTACAGATAGAAATATCAAGCATGACTGGTACATGAAAAATAAGGTAATTAAATGTGCATTTTCCTTCTTTTCAAGAAACATTAACAAGCAGAGAGTTGGCAACCTATGCATTTTTTTTTCCAGTTATTAAGTGGCTGAACCTGAACTCTGCATTCGGCTCAGAGACAGAGGATATCTCTACAGTTCTCTCTACTATCCTAGAATTGGAATTGATTACAGAGTAAACTAAGCACCAGAGTGCAAACTAGAAGATGCAAAAGAAACTCTATTTCCAGCTTGTCTCACTTCATGGGAAAGCCTGAAACCGTTTCTTTTTCTTTCCAGTTCTCTGTTTTGTTTTGTTTCCCCTTGCAGCACAATGCTAGTATCCTTGCAATTTGTAGCACAGGTCATGATCTATTACTTCCTTGTCAAACTATGGCCACATCTGTATAACCCTAATAAAACTCTCTTACAAAAGCAAGGAATTTAGAAATACCAGGCCAGGCTTGGCTCTCTGACCCATCAGTTTACTCTCCAGTGGACCCATCCCTTTAGTCTTTTCCAATGTAGTTGTATCAATGTGGCCTTGTAGTCAGTCACCTAGAAAAACACCAAGAGTACTGCTTTAATACACTGACCACCATTGTTTACCTGTTAAGGGACAGGCAGGATGGAGAAACAAAGGAACTATGGCCACTAACAAAGAGAGAATAACAGCTTACTTGGAAAATTCCACTATAGCTAGGAATTACAAAATGCTCTTTGCCCCATCATGGAAGAGATACCCCTGAAGAATGGGAATCAGTTCCCCTCTACTGATGGCTGCTGGGGGTGGAAAGAATGATGTTGTATTTATCTAGGTTTAATATACAAAGAAAAGCTACAGCGTTGGTGAGAACAACAAATCCAGGTAAGACTGCCTAAGAAAAGCCTGGCCCTGAAATGATCCTTTTCCTCCTTTCTGCTCATCAGAATGGTCCCTTGGTGAATCACCTGCTGGGGAGGAACAAGACAAGCAGAATGCCAACTCCCAAGTGTCCGTCTTGTTTGTTGAAAAACCTCAAGGAGGAACAGTGAAAGTTGGTGAGTGCCTAGCATTCAATCCTACCTTTTTTAAAAAAATTAAGGTGAGCCAGGCATGGTGCCTCACTCCTGTAATCCCAGAACTTTAGGAGGCCAAGGCAGGTACATCACTTGAGTTCAAGAGTTCGAGACCAGCCTGGACAACATGGTGAAACCCAGTCTCTACTAAAAAGACAAAAATTAGCCGGGTGTGATGGCAGATGCCCGTAATCTCAGTGATGGGAGGTGGAAGTTGCAGTGAACTGTGATTATGCCACTGTACTCCAGCTTAGGCAACAGAGCAAGACTCTGTTTCAAAAAAAAAAAAAAAAAATTGAGGTGAAATTCACTTATAACATTAACCATTTTAAAGTAAACAATTCAGTGGCTATTAGTACATTTGCAATGTTGTACACCCACCACTTCTATCTACTTCTAAAACATTTTCATCACCCAAAAAGACCCTATATCCCATTAAGCAGTTATTCCTTATTGCCCTCTCCCCCTGGGCCCTGGAAACCATTAATCTGCTTTGTCTCTTTGGATATTTCATATTAATGGAACCAGATAATGCAAGACCTTTTGTGTCTCGCTTCTTTCACTTAGCATAATGTTTCCAAAGTTCATCCACATTGTAGCATGTATCAGTATTTCATTCCTTTTCATGGCTAGATAATATTCTACCCTTTACAACCTGAAAAAATGAGTCACAGCTATGATTTCAGTAACCTTCAGCACATAGGAATCCAGTGCCTGGATCCCAGAGCCAGGTGGCTTGGGTTCCAATCTTGATCTGCTTCCTGCTAACTATTGCCCTTGGAAAGACAGTTTAACCTCTTTATGCCTTCGTTTGCCCATCTGTAAAATGGTGACAATAATGGGACCTAGCTGTCCTAGCTGTGAAGTACTTTGAACAGTGCCTGACACACCATAATGCTCTGAGCCAGTGTCTGCTGTCATTATCACAACTCACTCCATAAGGTGATTCCAAATCTACACACGTGCTAGGTCATAGTTCATAATACCTGAGACAGCTGATCAGACAAATAGTCCAACTCCTCAAATATTCAAATTCAAAAATATTGATTATATACCTCCTGCTTTAGGCATTGAATAAAACATGTGATCACTCAGAATTTATAGTCTGAGAGGAGCAGACAACAAAATTAAACAAATAGTCACAAATGCCAAGTGCTATGAAGAAAGGATGATGAGCTGGAGGAGAATGTGAGGGTTGAAGAATTTTAACCAATAAATATCTATAAGGGATATAGTATGATCTGAACTAGTCTTTGACACTTATCAATATTGTACAAATGAGTACATGGCTAACTATATTCCAGAATTACTTCTTTCCAGGCTAGAATGTCAAAATACAGGGCATGTGAACAGAAATGTTGGTTCCCTTCGTGTTCCTGTAAGACACTGAAATGCTGGGCTGGCAGCTGGACTACAGTGTCATGTCCTCAGGGTCTAAATCACTCCATACAAACAGATTGGCAGGTGTACTTCAAGATCAGTCTGATTTAGTCACATTCCTATAATTTCAGCCTTCTCATCACCTTGCCTAATAAAAAGAGTGAAAAAATCAAATTTTTTCATTTTATTTCACATATATATCCATATGTATGAAAAATTTCATATATATATCATATGTATCCATATATATGAAATAAATCTAAATATAAAATTATCCATATATAAAAATTACTTCCACTGGTTTCCCTATTACTTTTTCTACTCTATAAACCCCCAAAGCAGAACAAGTTGGAATAGCCTAAGGACCTCTAGAGCATTCATAAAAAATCAGGACCAATTCATTGCACAATTCCAAGGGCACCACTCACACCATATTCTGCAGTGCAGTCCCGTGTCAACGTCTTCCAGTTGAAAGCAAAACAAATGACACTTCTTAAAGACCAAGCTGAATCACCTGTACTTCTTCTAGGTGAAAATATCACCTTCATAGCCAAAGTCAAGGCTGAAGATCTTCTGAGAAAACCCACTGTCAAATGGTTCAAAGGAAAATGGATGGATCTGGCCAGCAAAGCTGGGAAGCACCTTCAGCTGAAGGAAACCTTCGAGAGGCAAACTCGGGTAAGGCCCTAAACTCCCAGCACAAGGGTTCAGCTAGCTCGTTCCTTCTGTGTGAGTAAATGATCATTTTCAGGTTCAGCTTTGAGAGACTTCAGTTCCAGAAAATTCTCTGGAGTACCATTCCTAGTGTCTACACTCTATTGCAATCACCCTACTGTGTCCAGGGGCTGCAGGACACATCTGCCCTCCTATACTGAGAACGTTGTACAGAATTCCCAGAGACAGACACAGCTTTAAGCCAATGCTGAGAAATTTGGAAAATAAACCGAAATATGTGTGTCTGGATGCGTTTCATTGCAGATGTACACATTTGAGATGCAGATCATCAAGGCCAAAGAAAACTATGCAGGAAATTACAGATGCGAGGTCACCTATAAGGATAAGTTTGACACCTGTTCATTTGATCTTGAAGTGCACGGTAAGAGAGCCTTCTTGCCTAGATAAATATAAATTTTTAATGGGGTGTGAGGAAATGGAGAAGTTCATTTCATACTACTACATTTTGGGGGAAGTTCTCCTTCAAAACTGTGTGTTTCTGTTTGTTGTAGACTCAGCAACCCTGCTGAATTAAATTGTAATGGGACAATTTATAATAAAAGTGGAATGGGGGGGATTTTATCACTAAATACCTCTTGTCCATGCTATCTATATTCCTTCAATCTCCCAGATAAAAGATGATATCAGTTTTTGCTGCTACAGAATGTATGTTTCATGGGGTCCACTTTCCCAGTCAGGTTTGGGGATAAGGTAATACGCTATGAGAGCTCAGGATACCCAGCTGTAAGGGAGAATTTCTCTTACAAAGACTAATGTCAGATATGGCAGTTCTTCATCCATATGTTCTGTGTACAAGAAGAGTAAAGACAGAAGGTCTAAATGCATACATTTAGGTTGGGAAAAAAACCTCACTTGTATAAGTATACAAAGGAAAAGTTTATTTGGCAGCAAATATTATAAACTTAAGGTGAATGTCAAGTGTGATGTAGTTGCAAAAGACAAAGCAAATGTAATTTTATTTTATTTTATTTATTTTGAGACAGAGTCTCACTCTGTCACTCAGGCTAGAGGGTAGTGGCATAGTCATGGTTCATTGCAACTTTCGCCTCCTGGGTTCAAGCAATTCTCGTGCCTCAGCCTCCCAAATAGCTGGGACACCCGGTTAATTTGGGGGCGGGGGTGGTATTTTTAGGAGAGATGGTGTTTCACCATGCTGGCCAGGCTGGTCTCAAACTCCTGTCCTCAAGTGATCCACCCACCTTGGCCTCCCAAAGGGCTGAGATTACAGGCGTGAGCCACTGTGCCTGGCCATGAATGTAATTTTAAACTGGGCTAATCCAAGTGCTATAGGATCTAAGTTTAGAAAATTATACTTCTCTCTACAACATGCTACATGTTCTACATTTGGAGTGATGTCTTTAGCTGTGGGCACTATACCTCTGTCTGATCCCCTTCTGAAGTAGGGTAAACAGGAAAAGGAAGAATCCAAAAACCACACTCTACCCAGCTTGAGCGTGTGGGCGAAGGAAGTCAGGCATACATGGCTTGCTGCAAAGAGGGGAAGGTCTGTCACACAGAACAAGGAAAACAAAGAAAATGCCCTTTTCCATGCACAAGAAGCATTTAGTTTATAATCAAAAGGCAGAAATGATGAGGAGGTGAATTTTGTCTTAACGTTAGGATGAGCTCTTTGGTTAAAGCTATGTAGAAAGGCTGTGAGTCTCACTCAGAGTGATGTCAAGCAGAGGCTGGATGGCCATGGGTCGGCTGCTGTGGATACTTCTGTATTAGGGAATCTGGAGTCCTGGGCGGCACTACACCCTGGCTGGGCATCTCTAGAAGATCATCTGGAGGGCTTTTTAAGAACACTGATTTCTGGATGCTCCTCCCTGATCTCTGGCAGAGAGGATTAAGAAACTGATACATTTTTAAGTCCCTCAGGTGATTCTAGTGAGAAGGCAAGTAGAATGACACCTGGAGAAGGTGATCCCTAGGTCCCTTAATTGGTTATTCATAAGAGAGGGTGAGGTATGATGAGGCCTTGGCAGCACAGCCATTCAGGAGAAAAGCATCCCCCCTTCACCTGACATTCTTCCATCTAAAGAATTCTCACAGCCTGTAAAGGAACTGGATACAAACTACCTTCTAAATGGGTATTTATGTTACTGTTTTCTTTCCTTTCAAAGAATCTACTGGGACTACTCCAAGCATTGACATCAGATCTGCTTTCAAGAGAAGGTAACTCCAAAAGGAAAATCTAGTTAGCTTTTGTATAACACAGAGGTGGAGGACTTTCAAAAACACTTCCCTTCCCCTGTATTCCATATCCCAAATACGAACAACCCTTTTCACCACAGTCAAACGCACCAGGTATTTAAAAGTTCATGTTCTAGAAAAACCATGGGTTTAAGGCCCAATCAAGCATATACTGACCTTTTTTTTTTTTAGAATATTCTTGTTATAATGAATTTCCTATTTATGAGGTTTCACAGTTACCCTCGAAAAACACTTTCAATTTATTCATATGTGGCTTCTTCCTTAATGCATGGGCAAAAGAGATATGCAAAGAGACTCATTTCATTGGTTAAGTAATAGCAGAAAACTGTTATTTATATTGCCTTTCATCCAGAAATCACTTAGGGAGCTACAGAATCATGTGTCCAAGAAAACCACAACTACGTAGCTACTTACTGAAGTTAGTACCATATAATATTGGATTATCCTAAATGAAACTGGCATTAAGAACACTACAGAAAGGCCAAATGTAGATATCTATTTAATATATTTTTGCAATTATCAAGGCTAAAAAATCAGGGGAGGTCAAGGAAAAAATTTTTAAAAACTTTTGGTCTCTGAGAAATATAACCAGCCCCTTCCTGTCATTATGTTATTCTCTATAGTTAATTATTCCATAATATAAATTCTTTAATGAGAGCAAATGTTTTGTTCTTTCTAAGACTGAATCCATATACAGTTTCATTAAATAAGGAAAGTCACTCCAAACTATTATAAAACAATAATTTAGCCTATTAATGAGGCATATTTTCCTCTTCTATTACAAATAAATCAAAACTTTAATTACTTTTAAGAGTATTAGATTTTTTTAATTTAAAAAAAAAGTCGTTAGGCCGGGCGCGGTGGCTCAAGCCTGTAATCCCAGCACTTTGGGAGGCTGAGGCGGGTGGATCACGAGGTCGAGAGATCGAGACCATCCTGGTCAACATGGTGAAACCCCGTCTCTACTAAAAATACAAAAAATTAGCTGGGCATGGTGGCGCTTGCCTGTAATCCCAGCTACTCAGGAGGCTGAGACAGGAGAATTGCCTGAGCCCAGGAGGCGGAGGTTGCGGTGAGCCGAGGTCGCGCCATTGCACTCCAGCCTGGGTAACAAGAGCGAAACTCCGTCTCAAAAAAAAAAAAAAAACAAAAAAAAAAAAAAACAAAAAGTCGTAACTTTCAAATCCTATTACTTTCCTTCCACTTTCCCTTCATCCCATGCTTAATAGGCGCATAGGTCTAAAACTATGCTCATACTGTTTACAGGTATATTTTAAGAGAGGGAGACATGATCTACTAAGTTTCCAGCTTTAAAAGAACATAAATGTATTTACTTCCAAAGGCCTGCAAATACCCGCAGAAATTTTGAAAACACATTATTGAGTTTCTTATGACTTACATGTTATACACACTGTTTTTAAACCCACAGACTCTTTCCTTAGAAACCATAACTAACATTTGTAAAGAGCAGGAAACAAAATCTTCATTAAAAAAATAAACATGTAAGTAATTATATAGTACCATTTAAATGTTAACTCTATAGCTTCTAGTTAGAGTTTATATGACATCACAATGGTGGCTGCATGCCTAATTTAAGATGCATTTCTCTATGGGAAAGCACTTTTTAAAAACTGCTCGTAAAAGTTTCATTAACAATTTAAGACAATTTTTTAAAAAACCCATTTAAGAAGCTGTAAATATTAATAAGAATATTAGAATGATAATTATCACCCTTTAAGAGAGAAAGGAATGCATCTTTTAAAAAGTTCCGTGTTAGCTCCTTTTTTATTGTTGCCATGTTTGTATCACATTATCTGATTCATCTGTTTATGGACACAAAGAGGTTACCTTTGAATATAAGGCTTTGTACTTATATATCTGACATTGGTACACTTCGTCCTCCAAGCCAATCTCTGTCTCCCATGAATAACAGAGATAAGCAAAAGTTCTTTGCTTTTCACAGAGGTATGTTTAGAGCCCCCAACTTGCAAAAACAAAGTGCTTTGTATTGCTTGGCTTAAGTGCATTTGTGTTACCTGGTTTTAACACAAATCCAAGCAGTTTTATATATGCAATCTACAAAAATGTGTCTTCTGAAATCACAGAGTAACACAAGCTCCTCGTTTACTTTTCCACAAGTACATACTCCAAAAACGTAACATGTCACTTGTGTGAAAAGAAATAGTTTGTGTTGATTTAGTCCTTGTGTGCTGGTACAAAATTGCATATACGTTATATGTAGAGTGCTTGGGGGAAATGATTGTGTATGTCTTTGCATTAAACCCAGATTTGCTTTTCTTTTGTTAATGACAGTGGAGAAGGTCAAGAGGATGCAGGGGAACTTGACTTTAGTGGTCTCCTGAAACGTAGGTGAGAACCAAGTGATGGAGTGAGACAGTGTGGCCTGGAAGTCTTTCAGACACCCACTCGCAGAAGTCAAGTTTAAAGTGAATGTTTTTCAAAGAACTTTTCATTTTCGAAAATGTGTTTTGCTTATAGAATATAACAGAGTTGACTAAGAAAGAGAGAAACAGCTGCATGCTAATCTTTTAAAGACTTTAACGGATGCTTTTAAACTTTCTTTTTAAATGTTTCATGACTCTTTACCTATTTTTTGAAATGGGGATGAAGAGATTTGAAAACTAAGACTATGACTCCTTCTCATGACTGAATAAATACGTCTTCATTCTCTTACCTTTGATATTTGATCAAAAAATCAGTTTTACAATTTTGGTAGAAGTCTGAAGACATATACACATTGTAAGAGACAGACCCACTTTAATATATTATTTATGAGGTGCTGTATTTCTGCAAGTCTAAGATACCACTGATTTGAAGATATACCAGTACTTTATAAATCACTAAGCAATAAAAAATTATTCCAAATACACGCCATTGATTATAAGATACATTGTCATTTGAGAGGTCTTCAAAATGCCTCAAAAATGTGTTTTAGAAGTGATAAATGGAAACAAAAGTTTAGTATTATCACACACTCACATTTCCTTTTCATTGTTCTCTCCTGCAATAAAATTCATAGAATTTCATTATGGATACTTAGAACATAACCATTTTATGGGATTTCTCCCCATATATATTTCTATAACTGCTATACTCTTTATGAGGATTGCCAGTGTATATATACTATATTATATGCATGTTATAGATATCTAGATATTTACCATGGTGCAGAGGCAACAAAAGAAACACTTTTTTTCCGGGATTATGTTTTATCTAGCAAATTTGTAAATAAACAGGGTAAAACTATAATTCCAAATTAATTGTATATAATATCAGTTTTCATTTAGCTTTCTAGGTTTTAAAAATTACTTTTAGTGCGTTCTATGGTTATTAAAAGACTACAAGTACAAATGTGCTTCATAGCAAATTACAAACACTTGAAATAAACTAGGATTGTGTTTAGTCACTGTTCAGTCAGATAGCTTTTTCAAGTCCCTGTGAATGAAAAATTTATCCCTACCCCCAACATGTAGGTTGAGAACAGAAATATTATATTAACGGTGTGACTTATTAATTACTGAGGGATATTAGCCCATAAATAGACCCATTAGTCTCAATAACCCATTAGTCTCAATAGTATTGATTAATTCCCCAAATGCATTTAAAGCGATAGTACATGAAGTGCGTTTAAGTGAGCCTCCCATTTCCTCACTCTACAGGTAAGAAACCAAGGTCCAGAGATAAGAAGTGACTTAACCCAAGTCACACAGGAGTTAGAGGCAGGCCAGGACCCAAATCCAAGTTTCCCTTTTATGAGACAGCTCATTTCCTGCAACTCCATATTAAAGATATCACTCTGAATCTGCCTTAGAAGCTAGTGCTTCAGTTTATAATACAAATTGACACTTTAGGATGACAAGGGAGCTTTTTATTCTCCCTGCAATCATTTACTCAATCAAGAAAATACTAAACACGGTCTTTGTGTAGAATATAAAGCTAGTGATGTGAAGAAAAGAAATCCAGTGCCTGGCACATAGAAAACAAAAGATACACATTTGTAGCAGGAAAAACAGGCAAAAACATGGGCTTGAGTCTCAACTCTACCATTTATTAATTATGTGACTTGTTCAAATATTTGACCCCTGTGAGACTTGGTTTTCACATCTGTAAATGTGAAGAATAAATGCTACTTAATAAAATTATTGTACAAATTAAATTAAGTGTAAGTTTGGCTCGCAGTAGGTGGCAAATAAGTATTTACTTCCTCTAATGAAATGTGTCATTTTCTCTCAAATAGCTGATATTCATAAGGACACAAAATACACACACACACATACACACACACACACACACACACACAACAAAAATATGATACAGTACATTAGGCACCATGCTCTGATTACAAAGGAAAAAGAAAAAATAACAGATTTTCAACCAGTAATTCCAGAATAAAAGAAATCTAATTACATGGTCAAAATGACAAAATTTTAAAATCACTTAATGGGCAGCCAACTTGTCTCCAGTTCTCATTTTCTTTTATCCCTTACTTAAGATTTTCATTCATAATTAGATTGTTGTTAATATATGGCTACGTTATGTTTATTTAGTATACTATACTAATCCACTAATGTAACTTTAGAAGTCATTGTGTTTTCCTACTAATTTGTGAGTTGCATGTGTTTTCATTATGGTAATGACACATGGTTACCGTTTCTACTCTTCCAAGTGTGTGTGCCAAAATCCCCATCAGAAAAAAAAAATTATCACAACCTACATCTTTGTACAATGAAAGATCTTCCTGCTCCGAACAAAGCAGCTTACTTCAAATAGACATTAGCTAAATCAGAGTAAATGTTTTGGGAAGCATCCTGTTACAGGATTTGACCTGTATAATACTTGTAAGTTGTTTTCTACATAAAATTTCTATAACTGCTATACTCTTCACTAGGATCGCTAAGTTACTGAAATTTTGATGTAGATGAAAGTACCATGAGCATTATACAGGTCTATCACCAGGCTTGGAAAAGAATCAGAAGTGCCTATAAAACTTGGATTTTTTTCCTCACTGTAACTTAACATAGCCATGCGTGCAGACAGGGTCATGTGCAGCCACCATGGTAAGTAACTAAAGATATGTTCCAGGTGCATTAAGGAAATGCTGAAGGTGAGCGCCTTGACCTCACATTTCAGTACAAGATAGATGCTTCTCTTTACAATTTGAGATATAATTAAGTAATGTGAAGACAAAAAGGAAGGAATAGGCAAAAGGTCAGTGGTGTTCTTGCATTAAATTTGATAAGACTAAGCATGTGATAGAGTGGAGTATAACTTGGCATTTTAATGAAAAAAATGGTGAGGACGTTTGGTTTTATAAATCTACCAATAAAACTGACTCAGGACATCACACTAAAAATTTCCATGTTTGTTACTGGTTTCTTTCACATAAATATTCACCTCACGGATCTAGGTAGGGCTCAGTGTTTGACTTGTGACTCTTGTTAGCTATTTTAATTATATCTAGCTTGATATCTTTAAATTCTTCTGCCAAAGTCAGGAGGACACTTGATATGTAATGTATATGTGCAATTCTTTATGGTTCAAATACAAATTTAACATAATCAAGTATGGCATAATTTTATAGTCTGGGGACTATATTTAGGCTGGAATGTGACAAAAATAGAGCATTAATAAACACCCCAGAGAAAATATATACATATAAACATACATATACATCTTTTTTGTGTTTTTCTTTGAGACAGGGTGTCACTTTGTTAACCAGGCTGGAGTGCAGTGGTGCAACCTTGGCTCACTGCAGCCTCGACCTCCTGGGCTCAAGCAATCCTCCCGCTTCAGCCCCACAAGTAGCTGAGACGGCAGGCATATGCCACCATGACCAGCTAATTTTTGTATTTTTTTGTAGATATAAGGTTTCACCATGTTGCCCAGGCTGGTTTCAAACTCCTGAGCCCAAATAATCTTCCCACCTCAACCTCCTAAAAGTGCTGGCTATAATCCCACGTTATAGCTAGTGGATTGAGGTGGATTGAGCCACCTCACCCAGCCTATACACATACATTGTAACCGCAATTCTCCTAGACTTCCTACTAAAATATTTAAAGGATGTATTGAAATGTTTACTGTTTGCAGCAAGTAGGTTTAGTGGATCTGGCAAATTATTACCAATATTCCAATTTCAGGACAATTTTCTTAAGCTTTTCAATTTTCCTATGTTAATAAAGTACATAGCTATCATTTCAGTGAGATAAAGATAATGCTTGTGTCTTGAGTTTTTAAGAGGCATATCGTGCTAATGGTGTTGTCCAGTCCTTCCCATCAAGATTACTAGAGAGACCAGTGATCTTTCACTTCCCTCTGATTTCCAGGAGATCTGCCTCAATGTCCCCCTAATCCACTGGGCAAAAAGACTTACATGACAATGTAAAATGGAAGATAGATATTTAGATTATCATCCTTGCCTAATGCCACCCTAAGCTCAGTTAATGTTTATAATCTCCTCCCCTCCCCTGTATATTTTATCCATGATTACAACCCAGTATTTCCTTCTCAAAGTATATATGAGTATAAAAATGACACTCTGGGTGGCATGGTGGACAGCCACTTTTTCCATGTTAGCCAGGCTGGTCTGGAACTCCTGACCTCAAGTGAGGTGGGCAGCTCACTTGAGGTCAGGAGTTCCAGACCAGCCTGGCTAACATGGCAAAATCCCGTCTCTGCTAAAAATACAACAATTAGCTGGATGTGGTGGCACACACCTGCAATCCTAGCTACTCAGGAGGCTGAGGCAGGGGAATTGTTAGAACCCAGGAACAGAGGTGACAGTGAGCCGAGATCACACTACTGCATTCCAGCTTGGGCAACAGAGTAAGACTCCATCTCAAAAACAAAAAAAGAAGGAGAAGAAGAAGGCACTCCAAAACAGGTATAATAAATATGACAGTGCAAACCTATGTAACCCATCATTTCCTAACATGATAGCATGAATTCATTTTCACATTAATATATAAGATGTATTGACCAGTTTTCCAGAAAATCATATCCAAACCAGCATTACTCATGGTAAGTAGTCATTGTAACATTTCCAAACTAACCTGATAAAAATAGTCATGTAAACTTAAACAAAATCAGGATTATTTAGCCAGTGAAGGAAACAAATTTGCCTACATTAAGTGTCTTTTCCAAAAGAGTGTTTATTTCTGAGTTTTGTTTTTATTTTAAGCTTTTAAAAGAAAAAAATATAAGATTCAAGATTTACACATCTTCCTTTCTTTTAAACTACTCACGGTAGTTTCAAATTTTTGTGTTTCTTAAAAAAAAAAAAAAACATAAAAAATCATTAATGTACATAGTACTAATATGGTAGGGAAAATGCTATTTGCAAAATCCAAAGGTTTAAAATAATGTATTTGTACTGTCTCCATATTTAGCTAGGGTGTGTACATCAAAGAAAACAGAGAGATCATTTTTATTTCATAGGCCAAATCTAAACCTTTTAGTTCTAATTCAATTTTCAATAATTCAATATCCATATCCTAGATGAAAACTTAAGTTTCTCAAAATCCCATTTTCTAATTAGACTTTAAAGTTAAAAATAAGTAAAATATGTTTTAGGCTATTTCCTAATATCCTCTACTCCCCCTAAAATTGTTTGTATTAACTAGGAAAACAAAAGGTGTTACTATAAGGGCACACATTTGATCTTCTACCACCTGAAACTTTCCCTAAGACTTCCAGCAAGGCAAGACTTAACTTCTGGGCTTCAAGTACTAAAGTTTTAAACACAGGTTTTCACACTGAATTGAAAGAGCAGAATCATACCTCGACCTTCCTTGTCTTTAAGGGCCAGTGCAGCTACTAACTAGACCATGATTCTCCCCGGTTAGGGAAGTGAAGCAACAGGAGGAAGAACCCGAGGTGGACGTGTGGGAGCTGCTGAAGAACGCGAATCCCAGTGAATACGAGAAGATCGCCTTCCAGTATGGAATCACCGACCTGCGCGGCATGCTCAAGCGGCTCAAGCGCATGCGCAGGGTGGAAAAGAAGAGCGCAGGTGAGCGCGCCCGAGGGGCTTGGCAGCCGGGCCGTGGGGCGTGGCAGCGCGTCCGAGAGGCGTGGCAGGGTTCCAAAGACGACCTTGAACTCCAGACAGTTGTTCCTCCAGTCTCCCGCGAGGTTGGGAGTGGCGCTGGGTAGGAGTGAGGGGGTTACGCTTGTCTTGGCGGACAGATTCATGGTCCACGTACAACATAGAAAGGAATAGTAAATTACCCTCACTATTACTGGGAATTTCTCAGCCGCCCTCTTTCTCCAGCCTCCCCGTCCCCACTCGCTGTCAAATTCTTGATTTTTACTTAAGCAGAGTGGACTCGTTCACCATCGTTTTCTTCCACCCATTTAATGGCGTGTGGAGAGTTCACTTTCTCACACCCAATATGGTTACCAGAATGTTTTGTAAAACAACTAAGCAGTTCCGTGGGGGTCTGAAATGGGTCCAGTTTATTGTAGTCTGAAATACCTTTTTAAAAATGGAAAGAAAAAAAAAGAGAGAGAGAAAGGAATACATTTTACACTGACCATTAGCTCTTAGAAGCTTCCTATACTCTGTCATTACTGCTTATGGGTTTTATGACACATCAGGTTAGCAATATATCAATTATTGTTTATTATTTTGTTTATAATGTTCAAATAGAATTTAAAGATATTTACCACCACTTTTTAAAAATCTGCCTTTTGGGAGGCCGAGGCGGGTGGATCACAAGGTCAAGAGATCGAGACCATCCTGGTCAACATGGTGAAACCCTGTCTCTACTAAATATACAAAAAATTAGCTGGGCGTGGTGGGTGTGCCTGTAATCCCAGCTACTTAGGAGGCTGAGGCAGGAGAATTGCCTGAACTCAGGAGGTGGAGGTTGTGGTGAGCCGAGATTGTGCCATTGCACTCCAGCCTGGGTAACAAGAGCAAAACTCCGTCTCAAAAAAAAAAAAAAAAAAAAAAAAAAAAAAAAAAAAAAAAAATCTGCCTTTTATTTCCGAACTTCCTGGAAACTGATTGAGAAATGGCCCCAGATAAATGTGGAAGGGTTTTGTTTGGTTTATGTAGTTCAGCCATTCCCGCTATCCCAAAGCTCCTGAAGTCGTATTTTTGAGAGGTGTGTGAATGCTACAGGGAAGAGCCAGCTGACATCTCTTTTCCCCAAGCTAAACTTTGTTATACTTACCACTTAGCTCTGAATTTATCTCTTAAGGTGTGTGATAGATAGGGTTTTTAAAAGCTAGGGTTTATTTTATCTTATTAAAATATAAGAAAGTGAGCTTGCCTAAACAATAGTATAATAAGATTAGAATGATGGAAATACAAGCATGACAACATGCAGCATTTCTCATTTGTATTTTCCAAACTGCTAAATGAGAATTATTATCTTTTTAAAAGCAGGGGGAAACATGTATTAAATTAAAAAAAGAAGTTTACTACCTTTATTTAGGATCCTTCAAAGACAACTTTTTTTTTTTTTTAATTGCTGTGTTCTATGTTACTTAAAATATTTGGAAATCCTGCGTTTCTAAATATATGTGCAAGGAGTGTTTTTTAAAAGCCACTATTTGGGTAAGTTACCACAATATAAAAATTGGTAAACCTACTGTTTCAATTAGTCAAAGGCATTCAATTTAATACGAATCACTGAATTTATCTTCTAAATTCTATGATTTAAGAAACTATCTGTGACATAGAAGTAGTGCAAAAATAAGACCAATGTCACTAATAGTAATTGTGCTGGAAGAATAAGCATGTTATTTTATTTTTATTTTTATTTTTTTGAAACAGGATCCCACTCTGTCACCCAGCCTGGAGTGCAGTGGTGTGATCTTGGCTCACTGAAACTTCTGCCTCCCGGGTTCAAGCGATTCTCATACCTCAGCCTCCCGAGTAGCTGGGATTACAGGCATACACTACCACACCCCGATAATTTTTGTATCTTTAGTAGAGACAGGGTTTCCCCATGTTGACCAGGCTGGTCTCGATCGATCACCTGGCCTAAGTGATCTGCTCACCTCGACCTCCCAAAGTGATGGGATTACAGTCGTGAGCCCCCATGCCCAGCCCTAGCATGTTTTTAAAGTTCACTTTCATTTAAACGCTTCATAAAGTTCACTTTTCATTTCACTTTCATTTCATTATAGTGTACATTCCCTAAAGAATTAGGTCATTTTTAAAGCTTCTTCAACGATTCTTTTCCTATGTTTCTTCGAGAAACATGTGGATTATTTTTTCAATTTTTAAACCATCTTATTGAATCTAAGTCAACACAATATTCTAAATATAAAGGATAATTTGAAATGTTTCTGATTTTTTTCTTCTCTGAGATTCATTCTCTCATTTGTTTTTAGGTTCACCTACATGTATTGACTATCTAAATTCGTAGCATATGTATACATATATTAACATACTTTTGCTTTTTCTATTCTATCAGCTTTCGCAAAAATTCTTGATCCTGCATATCAGGTTGACAAAGGAGGCAGAGTGAGGTTTGTTGTGGAGCTGGCAGATCCAAAGCTGGAGGTGAAATGGTTTAAAAATGGTCAAGAAATTCGACCTAGTACAAAGTAAGTGGGCTTTGCAAAAATCAGTGATAGCTATACAGTAAATAAGTCAAATAGTAGTTTGATTTAATTTTCTGAGAATAAAAGGATTTTTAATTATATTTTTATAATACAAAATCATATGGGGGAGAGTAAACATTTAAGTCACATTTTATGTATTATGGAACTATTGTGGTTCTATATAAACTAAACTTTATTTAGTGTTTAATTTTATAAAACTATTTTAAGTGTTTTCCACTTATGGTTTTGTGTTGCTACAGGTTAAATGTGATTATTTCAGAGTATTGCCAAATTTCTCCCAATTTTTAAAAATAAAATTGAAAAATAACTTGCAATCCATATTTCATATGCCACCTGAGAATCACATCTTAGATGACTTTTGCTTTTCCAAAATAACAACTATATTTAATAATAGATGAATACCTTCTATTTTCAATTCAGGTACTGTTTTGAGCACTTGCAATATTGCATCTAAAACGAACTCTTTAATGTTGAGATACAACAAAATGCAGGTCTAAGCCTGTGTTTTATTATTTCTTGGCCCTCTCGCAAATGGAGACAGACTAAAGACAGTCTAATCCCTGACGTCTGATGGTTTCTCCAGTTTATTATAAAACTACTTTACAGAGATTTTCCTCAGCCTGAGAGATTTTCAACTCCAATATATTTTTTTAAGTTAACAGGAGCCACGTGTACATTTATAAAAGACGTTAATCCCGGAAAGCTGTTACTTCTGGAGTACAATTAGGTGGTTTCCAATTTCTTAATGTGGTCATGCCAATAGAGTGACTTTGTGATGATAGCATTTATATCTGGCGTAAAAAAATCTCTTGAAGACGGTCTGAATTTACCAAAAACAATTTCTATTGGTTATCTTTATGTAGAAAGTATTTTTAAATATCTTGTTCTTAAAGGCTTCAATTTGAGAAATTCTCAAACCAGATTTTTTTTTCTGGTCTATTTCAATTCCATAATGTGCTCCTCCGTAATACAGATCACAGAGACTTCTAGTTTTTTGTTTCCAAATCCTCGCATTCATTCTTAGTAGATGGTAACTGTATGATAGCACCAGTTCTAAGGCTCATTTAAGAGAACATCACCTTCTATAGAACTGCTGTGTCTATTTATGATCAAAATCACATTATTGCTTAAATTGTATAATCATTTATTCACCCAAGGAAATCTACTATATCACTGTGATAGGCAATGAATAGATTTTATTCATATATCAATGAATAAGATCAAGTCTCTATCCACCTGTAAAGTACATGAATTGGCCAGTTAAAGAATGCACAGAGTTAAAAAATCTCTCTAACACCCTCAGCCAACTCTATTTTCCAACAGTGGGTTAAAAAATTAAATAGGCAAGTACTGATTTTTATTTGAAATATGTGAGCACTGATTTTTATTTGAAATGAAAACCTTATGTAAAATAAAATTATAATGGAAACTAAATAGTATATATAAATATCCATGTATATTATGTATTATGAAGATAAAAATTGGTTTTTTTGTTTGATGTTAAACTATGTAAGATATGATACCTAAAGAGCAGATCAAAATTTTATCCCTGCTGGGCATGATGGCTCATGCCTGTAATCCCAACACTTCAGGAGGCTGAGGCAGGAACACTTAAATCCAGGAGTTTGAGACCAGCCTGGGCAAGATGGTGAGACTCAGTCTCTACAAAAAAAATAAATTAGCTGGGCCTAGTGGCCCACACCTGTGGTCCCAGCACATGGGAGGCTGAGGCAGGAGGATCACATGAGCCCAGAAGGTCAAGGCTGCAGTTAGCTAGCTGAATGAATACAGTTTGCACCACTGTATTCATGCCTGTGCAACAGAGCAAGACCCTGTCACAAGATAAAAAAATAATAGATCCCTGACTTTCAAACATTACCAAATTATAAACCAAATTTGCTGGCAATAAAGAATAAAATCACATTCGCAAACTCTGTTTATTTTCCTCCTATTCGAAACAGATACATCTTTGAACACAAAGGATGCCAGAGAATCATGTTTATCAATAACTGTCAGATGACAGATGATTCGGAGTATTACGTGACAGCTGGCGATGAGAAATGTTCAACTGAGCTCTTCGTAAGAGGTAAAAATGAAATTTCTTACTGTGGTCACCAGGAGCTGTTGGCTCCTTCTCCCAGGGATAATGATCAAAGTGAAAGTAACTGAGACTCCTCTACACTGGCAGCTATTGTGGATCCTAAGAGTCTTCTGGTTTGTTGAAGACTAGAACAGCAAAGGGGAGAAAGAAAACCTGTTGAGTACAAATGCCTCATGGTTTTGACTCAAGCCAAGCACTATTTTGCCAATATAATTATTCTAGTTATAGCTTTGAAACCCAACAGATTTTACTAGATAATCTTTGTTTCACATACTTAGTTGATTACAAATAGGTTTCTTCTGAAACCAGCTTCATTAATAAGTGATTGGCCCCAAGCACACTGAAAATCATTAGGTACTAAGACATTGTGAAAAGAGCTGGAGGGTGTGAATGAAGCCATGTTTTACTTATTTTCTTTACGAGGCCTTCTGATTACAGACAATTCTGAAATCTCTATCATCTATCTGGAACTAGGATCAAAGATTTGAGTTTTGTATATTCTCCTTCATCAGAAATGTCTAGCACTTAGTATCTTCTTTGCTAAAAGAATAATATTTGATATATGTTTTGTTTGTTCTTGAGAACAATAATTTATTTGACTTGAAGAATTATGAAAAAATTGGAAAAATTTACCCAGGGTTCCTAGCTATTTATTTTGTCAAGAACAGACATTTTAAGAAAAAAACTCACAGCCAGGCACAGTGGCTCATGTCTGTAATACCAGCACTTTGGGAGGCTGAGGCAGGTGATCACTTGAGGTCAGGAGTTCGAGACCAGCCTGGCTAACATAGTGATATCCCGTTTCTACTAAAAATACAAAAATTATCCAGGTGTGGTGGCATGCACCTGTAATCCCAGCTACTCGGGAGGCTGAGGCAGGAGAATCACTTGAACCCAGGAGGTGGAGGTCGTATTGAGCCAAGATCATGCCACTACACCCCAGCCTGCGCGACAGAGCGAGACTCTGTCTCAAAACAATAACAAAAACACAAAACTCACTGTTAGCACCATGTCAACTATAGATGTTGCTTTCTTACCATTGGTTTTTCATCTGTTAACAAATCAGGGCTCATGGGATAGGCTTTGGATATTTAATGATTCTGATTTCCCCTTTTTGTGTACTAGAACCTCCAATTATGGTGACCAAACAGCTGGAAGATACAACCGCTTATTGTGGGGAAAGAGTGGAATTAGAATGTGAGGTGTCTGAAGATGATGCCAATGTAAAATGGTAAATAGCCTTAATGAAGTCTGTCCATTTTTAATGGACAAAATTTGTACCTTCATAGTTTATAGAACAGGAAGTATGAATAGCTTTTAAACCTTTGAAAAGAATCTCCACCTCATTAGTAGAGATGACTAAAAGTATACTAAGATTCTGGGATTTTTCCACTTGTGAGACTGAAAAAAAAAACAACAGAAACCTATGTGGGTAAGCGTAGGGAAATGCGCACTTACTATTAAGTAGATGACTCAAGTTTACCCAAGTATGTATTTTTTAATTTAACCCCTAGTCATTTTATTTTCATAGTACCTCAGGGGGAAAAATTTACACTGAGAATCCCCAATTGCTTTTAGAAATAAGAGTTTATTTGTTTTGCTCAGGTGGAGAGTGTTTTCTCAGTTTCCTTGTGAGTAACCTTAAAATTAAAAACTAGAAATTTTAAATCTTAAAGTGAAATGTTATGTTGAAAGGTATAGTAAATTGCAAAGCAGTATTTGTAGTAATTGTTAACAGTGTAGATTGTCCATTCTACTAGAGAATCATAGTTATCTTTAAAATGCATTAAGTGATATTCTTACTAGCGTGCTTCAAGAGCCTAAATGTGGGTAATAGCCACTCTTAGCAGTTGCACCTGATTCATTTTGAGTGCGAACAGGTGGCTCATGTTCTTTTAGCACAATTTTGTAGACAATATTTGTTACATTATGAATCTATTGATGGATACAGAGATTGATTCATACATTTTTTAATTTAACAAAGAGTTCTTGGGTGTCTCATATCGGCCAGAAATTTTTCAGGACATTGCAATAAACAAGGATGACAAGGTATTTTTCCTGAAGGATTATAAACCTTTTCTATATTTCATTTTAATTCAGGTTTAAGAATGGTGAAGAGATTATCCCTGGTCCAAAATCAAGATACCGAATTAGAGTCGAGGGTAAAAAACACATCTTGGTCATAGAAGGAGCAACAAAGGCTGACTCGGCAGAATATTCAGCAATGACAACAGGAGGACAATCATCTTGTAAACTTAGTGTTGACTGTAAGTAAGACTTCTTTAGATGTCTTCTAAGTGGGCTTACTAATGATGTGGTGTTTAGAAAAGTTTCAATATATTTGATTTCTACTTACAATGATTTTAAGTATGTAAAATGTATTTCATTCTAGCTAAGTGTGTGTATCAGATCAATCAGGGTGTTTGAGGAAGGAACCACAAGTGAATTTAATAGTAGAGTACCAATATTAAGAAGGATGTATAAAAATCACCTTCCAGAGGCTGGGCGTGGTGGCTCACACCTGTAATCCAAGCACTTTGGAGGCCAAGGCGGGTGGATCACCTGAGGTCGGGAGTTCAAGACCAGTCTGACCAACATGGTGAAACCCCATCTAAAAAAAAAAAAAAAATCACCTGCCCGAAAAAGTTATAATCCCAAGACCACATAAATAGGGGGTAAATACTTAGATATGATATCATATCCTGATAATGTTTGCTATCTATTTATCAAATAAACATTCAAAACTCTGTGATTACATTTAGTCTGAGAAGAAAGTAATTTAAACCAAGGAGACTCAATTGAGAAGATTGTAAGAGCTAATTTGCTAGTAGACTTCAGAGGCATGAGAGAATTCATGTACTTCCCTCAATGCCCTCTACTACTAGTCAGTTAGCAATGGCAAAATCTCTTCCAGTTTGCCATAAAAATTAAAACAGCAAATATCACAAAAAGAACAGAAATCTTACTTCCTTATTTGTTGCTTAGTCCAGTTGCAGTTCATATAATCATTGAATTATTCAGGAGCAATCCCAATACATTCCTTATTCTTTATGGAACTGTGGCCATTTTAGTTTAACATCAAGAAGTCTTTCAGCCATAAACAGATCCTTATCTGACGTGTATCCATTTAAAGCAATTACAACCAGTTCTGCTATGATGTAACGTGCATTTCTAAAAGTAATTATGCTGTGCAAAGTCATGGAATAAAAACCACAGGGTTTACAGGGGAAATGGGATTATGAGTACAACACTCAAGAATTTTGTATTAGTCAGTTCTCATGCTGTTAATAAAGACATACCCAAAACTGGGTAATTTATAAAGGAAAGAAATTCAATTGACTGACAGGTCTGCATGGCTGGGGAGGCCTCAGGAAACTTATAATCATGGCAGAAGGGAAAGCAAACATGTCCTTCTTAACATGGCAGCAGCAAGGAGAAGTGCTGAGCAAAAGGAGGAAAAGTCCCTTATAAAACCGTCAGATCTCACGAGAACTCACTCATTATCACAAGAACAGCAGGGTGGGGGTAACCGGCCCCATGATTCAATCACCTTTCACCAGGTCCCTCCCATGACACATAAGGATTATGGGAACTACAATTCAAGATGAGATTTGGATGGGGGTACAGCCAAACCATATCAGTCAGTGACATCTTTTAAATATAAAACTTAATTAAAAGTAGTAGCACAGTTGTACACGTGCTAAATGGTTAATAAATATGATACATATGGTACTTAACATTGAAAAAGACCCGAAATTTGCTTATGGAAGTAGTGCTGGAAGTGTTATGGCTTGTGAGCTATTGCGAAGCAGTAGAAAGAGGATTACTCAAAATCAAATGGGTAGTTGTAACTTCAGCTGTAAATGGGTGTGGCTTATATCACATGGGAGGAACTGAGATAGCTGATAGATGTTTGAGGTATGAGTCTGTGGATTTTGTGCATTCCTTACTGGCTTATTTCAGCTAGATGCAGTTTTCTGCACTCACCTAGTTTTTCTGAGGAATAAAATTGTTCATAATCAAATGTGAAATTATCCCCTAATAAATTAATTGCATTGGTACAACTTCTCACTTTCGAAACAAGCATAGTAACAGATCTCACTATACCATTGTGAAATGCCACCATCTTGGCCTGTCGGAAGTTTGGGCTTGGCATTTGTGTTGATCTATCATTTCTATAGTGAAACCTCTGAAGATTTTGACACCTCTGACTGATCAGACTGTAAATCTTGGAAAAGAAATCTGCCTGAAGTGTGAAATCTCTGAAAACATAACAGGAAAATGGACTAAAAATGGCCTACCTGTTCAGGAGAGTGATCGTCTAAAGGTGGTTCACAAGGGAAGGTAAGCAAGCCAGGTGACCTGCAAGTGAGGTTTGGTCCCATCTCTACTTTCTCCATCTTCTAAATTACGTATTTGGTGAGGATGTTTGAAGGGTAGCCACAGGGAGATCATCAAATAGATCAGATTTGGTGATCCTATATGATCACCAAATAAGTGATCAGATATGATCACCTACAATCTGATCCAAATCAAATCATCCACATCTGAAACTATCACACATACTAGCAAGAAGGTGTGATTTCTCTGTTGTACAGCATGTCCTACTCCTAATCCTGTATCTGTACCTCACATTACGGTGCTTTGTCTAATCCATTGACTCTTTTTCCATCTAAACATGAAGTTAGAGGCCAGGCACCATAGCTCATGTCTGTAATCTCAACAGTTTGGGAGGCTGAGGCAGACAGATCACTTGAGCTTGGGAGTTCAAGAGTTCCTGGGCTACATGGCAAACCTTTTCTCTACAAAAAACACAAAAATTAGCCAGGCATAGTGGCATGTACCTATAGTCCCAACTACTTGGGAGGTAGGAAGGATGGCTTGAGCCCAGTAGGGGGAGGTTGAAGTGAGCTATGATGCCACTGGACTCCAGCCTGGAGAACAGAATGAGACCCTGTCTCTAATATAAAGAATAAACATGATGTTAGAGGAAAAATATGAATTCTAATTGAGGACCTGATCTAATGGATTAACTGTCTCTAACCCATAAGTGTCACAATGCTTTCCCATAAATCTTTGTGTAGGAGACATAATATCCTAGAATCTGGCAAAGATCTAAGGCAAGAGTTTAATTCTAAATTCATGGACTTTTAGGATATCATAAATGGTTCTTTAGGAAGACCCGTAACTCCTGTGAAATTGTGAGAAAATTCTGTGCATACAAAAATACATACTTTTTACATAGAAAGGATTCATAGCGTCCATTAGATATTCACTGGTTTGTGACCCCAATAAAGTTAAGAACTTTTGTTCTTAGGGTTTGGCATATAAAACCATAATCAAGGTTATTCTTGGCAATCTCTTGAATCTTAAAGTATAGCATTACTGATATGTTCTATTTTAGCCTTTTTAAAGCAACGAGATGAAAAAAGAATAGACTCTAAATACACAATAAACAGATTATATTTGTGGAGATAATTCCATGTAGTCCAAAATAAAGATTTAATTTAATTTAGAACAATAAATAGGATAATTAAGGCTTTTTTTTTTTTTTTTTTTTTTTTTTTTTTTGAGACGGAGTTTCGCTCTTGTTACCCAGGCTGGAGTGCAATGGCACGATCTCGGCTCACCGCAACCTCCGCCTCCCAGGTTCAGGCAATTCTCCTGCCTCAGCCTCCCGAGTAGCTGGGATTACAGGCACGTGCCACCATGCCCAGCTAATTTTTTGTATGTTTAGTAGAGACGGGGTTTCACCATGTTGACCAGGATGGTCTCGATCTCTTGACCTCGTGATCCACCCGCCTCGGCCTCCCAAAGTGCTGGGATTACAGGCTTGAGCCACTGCGCCCGGCCTATCCTTTCTCCTTTTCTCTCTCTTTCTTTCTCTCCCCTCTTTCTCTCTTTCTCCCTCTCCCTCCCCCTCTCTCCTGCATTAAAGAAGTTAATCAGATAAAGGCCAAGTGTCTTTTCAGTTTAGGTCATATATAATTTAAATCTTTGCAGTCTTAGAAATTCGTTTTCCTTGTTTCCTTAGAATCCACAAGTTAGTGATAGCCAATGCCCTCACTGAAGATGAAGGTGATTATGTATTTGCACCTGATGCCTACAGTGTTACTCTGCCTGCCAAAGTTCATGTTATTGGTGAGTAAATAAGTCATTGCATAGTTGTGTTCTTTTTTGTTTGCTTTTGCTTCTCATGGAGTTATAATATATTCAAAACTAAATGACATGTAAGGAAAAATACATCAATTGATATTAATCACCAATCAGAATGATTGGTGATTAATACCAACACCTTACAATAAAATTGTTTTGCAAGGTTCCAGGCACCAACTATCTTGACCCCTCCTATATTCTTTTTGATAAGATAAAATAGTGATTACTACCATGATACTATCCAAACATTAGTTGGAGATATTCACACAGAAATGACTGTCTGATAACAAAGACCATGCTTAATATTCTAGATCCTCCTAAGATCATCCTGGATGGTCTTGATGCTGACAATACAGTGACAGTGATTGCAGGAAGCAAGCTTCGTCTTGAGATCCCTATCAGCGGAGAACCACCTCCTAAAGCCATTTGGAGCCGGGCAGATAAGGTTTGTTTTATGCATGCACACACTCACATGAACACACACATATGCATAGACACTGCCTGTCCTACCCCTTGCCCTCCATTAGTCGGATGAAGGGAGAAAATGAATAAATGTACAGCAGTACAGTACAGATGTAATTTCTTTGAAAAAGAAAGATGACTGGTTTTCAGGCAAATCTGATCATTAATTTACTTCTCAAATTTCTATTATATAGCAAAGCATATTTTTATGCACAGTGAACAAAGCCTCATTTTTATTCTAATGGTAATTGGGGAGATGAAAAAGAAATAGACAATGAATTACTAAATAAATAAATGAACAAAGATACATTGAATAGCAATGAATACCAGAAGATAATAAAAGAGAATGATATGATAGCAAGTGACTGCATAGTCAATGGCAGCCTCTGTGAAGAACAAGGAACTCATTATGTGAAGATCAAAGAGAAGAGATTTCCAGGTGGAGGCAAATTACAAGTGACAAAGCCAAGGGGAGAGAATGAGCCTGATGTGTTGGAGGAACAGAAGGAAAGCCAGCAGGGCAGGGGCAAAGTGAATGATGGGGAGAAAGACAAGTGAGAGTGGAATGGTAGAGTAGTGCCAGCTCAAGTGTGACCCTGTGGCTTTCTACAAAAATAAAAACAAAAACAAAGTTTTGCATGTAAAAAGAAGACATGAGACTGGGCACCGTGGCTCACGCCTATAATCCCAGCACTTTGGGAGGCCGAGGTGGGCAGATCACCTGATGTCGGGAGTTCCAGACCAGGCTGAGCCTACATGGTGAAGCCTTGTCTCTACTAAAAATACAAAAATATTAGCCAGATATGGTGGTGCATGCCTATAATGCTGGCTACTTGGGAGGCTGAGGCAGGAGAATCGCTTGAACCCAGGAGATGGAGGTTGCAGGGAGCCGAGATCACGCCACTGCACTCCAGCTGGGCAACAGAGTGAGACTCTATCTCAAAAAAAAAAAAAAAACCTTAAAAATATAAAATAAAAAACAGAATGAGACTTCTACTTTCAGCCAGAATTGAATAACAGGGACTAGATTTACCTACTCACTTCAAATAACTCCCAAAATAGACATACTATATGAACAATGGTTTTCAAGACATTGGACATCAGATAGTGAAAGACAGTGACTATGAAATATGATAAACAAATGAAGTGAGCCCTATAATTGCCTCAAGTTTATTGCCATAGAAGAGTATCCAGGCAGTGGCACAAGGAAGAAAACCCTGGACAGAACCCAGTGCACTCCCTAAATTTAGAACTCCCATTGTACAAGGAGACCAAGGCAGCTGGAGTTCATAAGATACTATATACACTGGAGGAGAGGGCAGAGCAAGTGCCCCCTGGAGCTCTGCGGAGGATCTCAAGTATTCAGCAAAGATCAGTGCACATTTATGAGGAAATTACCTAAGATCTAAGAAAGAACCATCTGAAAGGATTAAAGAGGACTGACACAGACACAAGGCCAGTAGTAGTGCCTGTTCCCCTAGCTAGATGTGAAAACCTCATCACTCACAGTACATTGAGTAGAGTACTCAGGAAGGGCTTGCCTGGATGGCAGGAACAATTAACCCTAGACTGAGCACTGTCATGGACCCACCTAAAAGTCATAAAAACATTCAATCAATTTCCAAACAATTTAATTGCATTTCAGACCAAAACTGAAGATTTATATAGGAATACAAAAATATCAACCACCCAACATGGCAAAATTAGCAATATCTTACCATCAAGTCAAACATTATGGTAGAGAAATAAGCAGGAAAACACAGCTCGAAATGAGGAGAAAAGTCAGTTACAGCAAACTCAGAACTCACATGTAAATTAGATTTAGCAGTCAAGCATATGCAAATAATTGTTTTAACTGTATATTCCGTATGTTCAAAAAGTTAGGTAGAGAAATGTTGGTCTCTCCATCTGAATTAAACAGAGAAAGTTAAGTGAAAAAAGTGTTCAAGTGGAAAAACATAAAAAGATCCAAATCAAATCACCTACAGATGAAAACAATAAAATGTCTCAGATAAAAAATATGGTAGATGGAATTAACGGCTAATTAGACATTGCAGGTGAATTTGAAGACATAGCAATAGAAATGATCCAAAACGAAAAACAAGAGAAAAAGTCAAAAAAAATTTAAAGAATCAGATTTCCAATTTTCATTCTGGCATGTAATTGGCTCAGAAGTTGCCACTCTATCTAAACAACAACCAAAAAGCTGGACAAACTGAAAAATCAGCAACTCCTCTTACATATGTCAAAGAAGTGAGGATACAGGGCAAACTGCTGAAATATGAGAGTGAAGTCACACATTGAAAGTTTTCAGAGTGAAAACCCATCAACTTAGAATTCTATACCCTCTGAAATTATCTTTCAATTATCTTTCAAAAGTGAAGGAGAAATAAAGACTTTCACAGACAAACAAAAATTTAGGAAATTTGTTGCCAATGGATCTGTCTTGCAAAAAGCGTTAAAAGATGCACCCAACAACAGAGCCTCAAAATATATGAGACAAAACTGATAGAATGGCAATGAAAAATAAATGCATCCACTATTATAGTTAGAGACTTTGACATTCCTCTATCAGAAGTAGAGATTCAGCAGACAGAGAATCAGTAAGGGCGTAGCTGAACTCAACAGCACTATCAATCAATTGTACATAACTAACATCTATAGACTACTTCATCCAATAGCAGCAGATTACACAGTCTTTTCAAGCACACATAGCATATTCACCAAAATAGACCACATTCTAAGCCATAAAAACACCTTAATAAATTTTTAAAAATAGAAATCATACAATATCTGCTTTCAGAGACAATGGAATTAAACCAAAAATAAATAAATTACAGAAGTGAAACTAAAAATAGATGAATAACAGAAAAATAGCTGAAAATCCCTCAAATTCTTGAAGATTAAACAACATACTTCAAAAAAGACATCTTAAAAGAAAATTTAAAATATATTGAATTAAATGAAAACGAAAATACAACATATCAAAATTTTTAGGACGCAGTAAAAGCAGTGTTTAGAGGGTAATTAAGGCCGGGCACGGTGGATCACGAGGTCAAGAGATCGATAACATCCTGGTCAACATGGTGAAACCCCGTCTCTACTAAAAATACAAAAATTAGCTGGGCATAGTGGCGCATGCCTGTAGTCCCAGCTACTCGGGAGGCTGAGGCAGGAGAATTGCTTGAACCCAGGAGGCGGAGGTTGCAGTGAGCCGAGATCGCGCCATTGCACTCCAGCCTGGGTAACAAGAGCGAAACTCCATCTCAAAAAAAAAAAAAAAAAAAGAATGAAAGAGGGAAATTTATAGCAATGACTGAATATATTTCCTAAAAATAGGAAAGACATAAAACTAGTAATCAAAGTTTCCATCTTAGAAAACAAGAGAAATAAGAGTAAATTAAATTCAAAGTAAACAGATAAAAGACATGATGCAAATTAGAGCAGAAATAAATGAAATTTAAAACAGGAAATTAATAGAGAAAATTAACAAAAGTTGGTTCTTTGTAAATATCAATAAAATGTATAAGCCTCTAGCCAGGCTAACTAGGAAAAGAAGAGTCAAGACTAATTAACAGAAATGAAAGAGGGACATTACTACAAATCCCATTAACATTAAAAAGATAGTTAAGGGATATTATGAACAACTCTATGCCCATAAATTTCACACTCTAGTTGAAATAGACCTCCCCTTGAAAGATACAATCTTCCAAAATTCACACAAGAAGAAACAGGCAATCAGAAAAGGATTATATCTCTTAAACAAATTGAATCAATAATTAATAACCTTCTAAAACAGCAGGTAACAGGTTGCAATGAGTTTGTTGGTAAATTCTACCAAACATTTAAGGAAGAATTTGTGCCTTAATCTCTTTCAGAATACTTCCTAATTCAATCTATGAGATCAGCTTTATCCTAATACCAAAATCAGAAAATTTCAGACCAATATCTCTCATAAACATAGATGCAAAAATCCCAAATAAAACATTAGCAAATCAAACCTAACAATGTATAAAAAGAATTCTACACCAAAACCAAGTGGAACTTATTCTAGGTATGCAAGGCTAGCTCAAAATTTGAAAATCAATTAATGTAATCCACCACATCAACAGGCTAAAGGAGAAAAATCACATGATTCCATCAATGGATGAATAAAGAATCTTTGAAAAAATGCATGATGAGGACTCTAAGTAAAATAGAAATAGAGGGAAATTTCTTCAATTTGATTTTTTAAAATCTACCCCAAAAAAAACAAAAACAAAAAAAACCAACAGCTAAAGTTACACTTAACAATGAGAAACCTGACACTTTCTCACCAACATCAGAAATAAAGCAAGAGTGTTCCCCTCTCATTACTGCTTTTTAACATTGTATTGGAAGGCTTAGCTAATGCAATAAAAGAAGAAAAGAAGGTACGCAGATTGGGAAGGAAGAAATAAAATCGGTCTTAGTTCACAGATAACATGTCTGTCTATGTAGAAAATCTAAAAGAATAGATACAAAAAATTCCTAAAATTAATAATTTATAGCAAGGTTGCAGGATAATACAATGTCCCCATACAAAAGCCAATTGTTTTCCTTTATACTAGCAGTAAACAAGTGGAATTTAAAATTAAAAACATATTACCGTTTATATTCATACCCCCCAAAATAAAATACTTAGGTATAAATCTAATAGGTATAAAATCTATACGAGGAAAACTATAAGACTCTGAAGAAAGAAATCAAAGAAAAAATAAATAAGAGATACTCCATGTTCGTTGATAGGAAGATGAAATATTGTCAAGATGTCCCAACTTAATCTAGAGATTCAATGCAATTCCAATCAAAATCCAAGCATGTTATTTTATGGATATCAACAAACTGATTCCGAATTTTATATGGAGAGATGAAACACCCAGAATAGCCAACTCAATATTGAAGGATAAGAACAAACTCAGAGCACTGATAATACCCAATTCCATGACTTATTATAAAGCTTCC